TCTATTGAGATATTTTCAGTTATAATACCCCGAGAGCTTCAAAATGATCGGGTATTTCCCGATAACTTCGTTGCATACAAACGAATATGTCAAGTTTCACAGGTTAAAAAAATCCCGAGCGCTGGCGCGAGGGATTTTTCCTGTGAAACTTGACGCATTCGTTTGTATGCAGGGAAGTTTGAGGGAAATGATCCGATTCATTTTGAAGGTCGAGGGGTATTCGGCGGAGTATTTCCCCCATCACCATTTCGATAACTAAAATTGTGGTATTCGGCGTTATCGTGGTAAATTCGACAATTTTTTGTTATTCTGCTTGGCAACGGGAAAATTACCGAACAATGGGGTATTATCAGTAGTAATACCACGAGACCTGCAAAATTATCGGATATTTCCCGATTGTTTTGTTGCGTAGCAACGAGAGGGAGAAGTTTTGCAGATTAAAATCACGAGCGCGCAGCGCGAGGGATTTTTGTGCAAAACTTATCCCGATCATTGACACGCAAGAAAACATGAGGGAAATGTTCGATTAATTTTGGAGGTCGAGTGGTATTCGATGGATTATTTTTGGTAATCGGATCCTTCCCAAACCGACTCATTTTGACTTTCTTGATGACTTTCTTTCACTCCACAGGAAAATATTTGAGTTATTTGGTTAGAGAAACAATTGCAAAGCTAGAGGGAAATTATCAAAAGCTACAGGGGAATTATCAAAAGCTAGGGGGAAATAACCGCTGTAATTTTAATTCGGAAGTACTCCATGTTATTGAATACTGAACTCTGATTGGCCCAGGGAAGGCCAGATCCGATTACCAAAAATAATCAGCTATAATACTCCAAGACCTTCAAAATTATCGCATATTTCCCGAATGTTTTGTTGCATAGCAACGAGAGGGTGAAGTTTTGCAGACTAAAAGCCCGAGCGCGTAGCGCGAGGGATTTTTGTGCAAAACTTATCCCGATCGTTGATACGCAGAAAAACATGAGGGAAATGTTCGATTAATTTTGGAGGTCGAGTTGTATTCGACGGATTATTTTTGGTAATCGGATCCTTCCCAAACCGATTCATTTTGACTTTCTTCATGACTTTCTTTCACTCCACAGGATAATATTTGACAGTTATTTGGTTAGAGAAACAATTGCAGAGCTAGAGGGAAATTATCAAAAGCTAGGGGGAAATAACCGCAAGTAATACCACGAGAGCTTCAAAATTATCGAGCAATTCCCGATAGGTTCGTTACAAACAAACGAAGGAGTCAAGTTTTGCAGGTTAAAAAATCACGAGTGCGAAGCACGAGTGATTTTTCCTGAAAAATTTGACGACTTCGTTTGTGTGCAGGAAACCTCGAGGGAATTACTCGATTAATTTTGAAGTNATTATCGGATATTTCCCGATTGTTTTGTTGCGTAGCAACGAGAGGGAGAAGTTTTGCAGATTAAAATCACGAGCGCGCAGCGCGAGGGATTTTTGTGCAAAACTTATCCCGATCATTGACACGCAAGAAAACATGAGGGAAATGTTCGATTAATTTTGGAGGTCGAGTGGTATTCGATGGATTATTTTTGGTAATCGGATCCTTCCCAAACCGACTCATTTTGACTTTCTTGATGACTTTCTTTCACTCCACAGGAAAATATTTGAGTTATTTGGTTAGAGAAACAATTGCAAAGCTAGAGGGAAATTATCAAAAGCTACAGGGGAATTATCAAAAGCTAGGGGGAAATAACCGCTGTAATTTTAATTCGGAAGTACTCCATGTTATTGAATACTGAACTCTGATTGGCCCAGGGAAGGCCAGATCCGATTACCAAAAATAATCAGCTATAATACTCCAAGACCTTCAAAATTATCGCATATTTCCCGAATGTTTTGTTGCATAGCAACGAGAGGGTGAAGTTTTGCAGACTAAAAGCCCGAGCGCGTAGCGCGAGGGATTTTTGTGCAAAACTTATCCCGATCGTTGATACGCAGAAAAACATGAGGGAAATGTTCGATTAATTTTGGAGGTCGAGTTCTATTCGACGGATTATTTTTGGTAATCGGATCCTTCCCAAACCGATTCATTTTGACTTTCTTCATGACTTTCTTTCACTCCACAGGATAATATTTGACAGTTATTTGGTTAGAGAAACAATTGCAGAGCTAGAGGGAAATTATCAAAAGCTAGGGGGAAATAACCGCAAGTAATACCACGAGAGCTTCAAAATTATCGAGCAATTCCCGATAGGTTCGTTACAAACAAACGAAGGAGTCAAGTTTTGCAGGTTAAAAAATCACGAGTGCGAAGCACGAGTGATTTTTCCTGAAAAATTTGACGACTTCGTTTGTGTGCAGGAAACCTCGAGGGAATTACTCGATTAATTTTGAAGTTCGAGTAGTATTCGGGAGGGAATTTTCCCATCCAAATGTCGGCCAAAAGAATTGCACTATGAGACAAAATCCATCTGACAGTTCCAACCAGGGGTTCACTCGACCACGCAATCTTTTGTTTTCCACAAATATAGTCAACATGAAAAATTACCAGTTGAATTATCAAAAATTATCAGCTGAATACCGTGTTATATGAAATAACAGTCGAATAGTGCAATTCTATTGGCTGACATTTGGAGGAGGAAAATTCCCTCTGTAATTTTAATTGGGAAGTACTTCATGTTATTAAATACTGAACTCTGATTGGCCCAGGGAAGGCCAGATCCGATTACCAAAAATAATCCATAGAATTTCCTCAGCTCAAAAACCTACTTATATCCAGTGAGAAAAGTTCTCAAGTCAAAATCCGCCGGTTTCTCAAACCTGATTGAGAACTTTCGCGTTCTTTGTCAAAGAACACTGTTTCCTCAGTAATTGAGTCAAGGGGACATCAGGTGATGTACTTTGAATAGCAAAGAATTTATAAAAATAAGTAGATTCATTTCTAACAGGAAAAATAATCAATGCAAGAGCAAGAATATTCTTAATTTCAGAACACGGATGGTCTTGATTTAAAAACTATTCGTGTATTAAGAACCCTGGCGGATCGATCGATGGCTACTCGATGGGGACTCGATAGGAGATCGACTAGTGCAGTCGGTCGATGGTCGGTCGATCGTTGGTTGATCACTGGATAGATGGTTAGTCGATGGATGGTCGATCATTGGTTGATTGCTGGTCGATTGTTAGTCAATGATTAGTCGATTAACGGTCGATGGTCAATTGTTGGTCGATTGCTAGTCGATCATTGGTCGATCGTTATTTGATCGATAATCAACCAATCGAACCGCCATCAACTAGCACTCGACTGAGTGCTCAGCTCGACCCTCATATCGAGTGATCCATTAGGAAACTCAAAATGTTCCTAAGTTTAAGTGCAATTGTGTTAGATTGAAGTAAAAATCACTGAAAATTAAAACTTGCGTCTCATTGTTATAGAAAAGATTCTTAAAATAAGTGGCAATTTGACATATTTCTCGCATTTTTTACTCGCTAAATTTCAATACTATAGAAGTATGAAATTCACGGATTTTTACTGGAAACAAAATTTTTTTCTGCGGAATGCACTTCTTGCTTCAATATTAGTCGCAAATATTCCTCAATTAATTTTTCTATATATCAACGAGGGGAATGAGTTTTGCAATAAAATTCTCTCTCTCGTTGCTACGCGACAAAATTTTCGATAATTTTGGAGAACCTTGGCTGATCGATGGTAACTCGATGGCAACTCAATAGGGAGATTGACTTGTTCATTCGGTTAATAGCCGGTCGATCGTCAGACGATGATTGGTCAACAGTTGGTTGATTAATGGTCGATAATTAGTCGATTGCTTATTGATCTTTAGTCACACGCATGAAATAGTTGAATAGAAAAACATAGAGAATTCGCTAGACAAGTCTATGGAATTTCTACTGGACTTTCTATCAGTTTTTGGCCGATTCTATTGAAATGTTCAATAAAAAATATTCTTTAGAAAAAGTTGAAAGAATTCGATTTTTTTATACAATTTATTCTATTGAGATATTTTCTATAGAATTTCGTCGGCTCAAATTTTCTAAGTTTTTTTGTTTGATTTTCTTGATGAGACGAAAAGAAAAATAGGATTAAAAAAAACTTGGAAAATTTGAGCCGTGCAAATTTTATAGAAAATATCAGACGAGAATAAGTTATATAGAAAAATCGAATTCTATTGACTTTTTCTGTTGAATATTTTCTATTGAACATTTCAATAGAAATCTAATAGAATTTTCTAATGAATTTGCTAGGTTTTTCTATTAAATTTTTTCGTGCGTGCATCATCGTCATAGATCAACCCGTAATCGACTAACACTCGATTCATAGAACAATTCAACCCCCATATCGATTATGGCTGAATATTGTCCTCAAGGTTCCCTGCAAACAAACGAGCTCATCAAGTTCTTCCGAAAAATGTTGACACGTGCATTTATTTGCAGCAAACCTGTCAGCAAACATCCAATAGTGTTGAAACTCTCATAATAAGTGAAAAATCCACTCTCTGCACAGACAGAGTTTCTCATATTGCAAATACAATCCCATCCTTCGATTATCCCCAACAAATATAAAAATGAAATATGTTGTATATATGTTGTGTATATTCGCATGACTCATCATAAAAACCGATACGTTATGATTAGCTGGTAATTTCCATTGTCCCGACATGCGTTTTACGTATTGCCCTTCCCAAAGACTAAAAGAAATTCCCCCCGAGTAATTACACTGACCTACATCACCCCCGATATATATGATTATCAGAAAGAATCGGTGACATAATGTATTTTTTCCCTTGCAGTGTGCACTATCCGTTCATCTCATATAATAGTGCTCCTTCTTTCTATTCATCATGCATCACCACCGCCCTCACCCCCACTGATCACAGCCGACCGCCGCGTGTTGAGGGAGGGGGGAAGGCGATGGGGAGAAGCTTTACCTCACTGACTTTCCGTTGAATAAAATACCTCTCCGCGCAAGCTCTGTGTCCCCTTATTGATCCACTTCACCATTTGCTATATGTTGAACGTGGAAGAGACTTGGTGCACGATTGCACGCCGTAAATAACGCCCCGATTCTTTCTCTCCACTCAAGAAGCAAAAAAATAATTAAATTATAGAATTGAGGAAAAACTAGTTTTCGGGTAGTTCAAATAAACCTTTTTGCGAATAGCAGCAAATTTTTGGGAAAGCTCGTAAGTGTTGGAAAATGGTCGGTGGTGTATTGGAGGATGGACCACTGATTACCCCCGTTGAATCAGGTGAGCCGACTCATAATTTCGTCTCTTAGTCATGTGCCGGCTGGTTGAAAATTTTCGATACCCCTCGAATGTATCTATTATCGCGAAATGATCAAAATGTCCCAAATCACTAGACCATCTTATAATAGTTCTCCAATATTGCGCAAGAATTGTTTATGAAATATTAATCATAAAAAACGGATTCAGTCGATAAAGAATAAAGACAAATCTTTTGTTCTGATTGATTTCATTATTTTTCGGCCCTGTTGATGATTTGATCAAGTATGAGACGGTTAATTTGCTCATGGTAATATTTATGTTGAATCAGTATCGAAGAATACTCTGGTCGGGCTATGTGTGGCCCTGGCAGCATTGGCATGCGCCGCCGCAATGACCTGGTGGTATTGCCGACGGCGCCGAGAACACATGAAATTGAGCATAGACAAGTCTCTGGCATTCAGACCACCTCATCGTAAACCAACAGCGGTAAAGAGTCCTGGTAGTACAACGCATTATTTGAAGAAGAGTCCAAGTCCCACGGGTCCAGCTAAATCACCACCAGGTTCAGGTGGTCAGACACCATCACCAACTGGCTCTCAGCATTCACCGCACTCCAATAATCCATCGTCAAATCCTAGAACTCCATCGGGATTGTCACCACTGCAGACACCCTCGGGTGAAGTCACCATTAGCATTGAAAATGAAAAAGATAAAGCGGAATTAGAATCGAGTGAGAAAGTTGAGCGTGGACTTCTTAACGGAGATGGACACAGAGATGGCCTCGGTCAATTGGTATTCAAACTCCGTTACCAAGCGGATCAGAATGCTCTGGTTGTCACTGTCGTTAAGTGTAAGGGACTTCCGGAGAGGGGAATGCAAAATTCTACAAGTGATCCTTATGTCAAACTACAGTTGCTGCCTGATAAGCAAGACAGGGTGAAGACGAGGGTTCTTAGGAATACTCGTGATCCAGTTTATGATGAGGATTTTACATTCTTTGGAATTTCCAAAACTCAATTACAGGTGAGAATTACATCAATGGATATACCAAAAACTTCATTGGAAAATCTAGTGCATTCGCTGAAAAATTCTAAGGGATTAGAAATATGCGATAGGAAACATTTTATAGGAAAAAATTACAGAATTCCATTTTCCAAATAGATGATACACTAATAGTATTTCCAATAGTTCAATATCAATCGAATCGAATTTTCTAGCGAATGCGCTAGCTTTTTCTATGAAATTTTACGGCGCGTAGGGCGAAGGGGCACGACGTAGGTGAAGAATATGCATATTACTTTATAAATGTCTCAGACAGTAATAAGTTGTTAGATGGATAAGATTTCAGTGGATTTTATGGATTACAATGATGACATTCCGACAGTTTCCGTTCAATCTACGCAGAGAGAAATATTCAGTAAAAATTGCGGAACAATTCACGTAATCCGCAATGGGGAATCGTTTTCCGGCAATTTTTATATAATAGGAATGGCAGAGAAGAGATCTGAAACGTTCAGTGAATTTTCAGGTTCATCACCGAACAAAGTACGAAATTGTCCCGTAATTTTTCCCGAAGAAGTAAAACCTTACAGAAACTTGCCGACTTATTGTGCCTCAAAAATCAAAAATTCTTGAACGTTCAACAATTTTTATGAAGCTGGTGAGTTATTTCTACGATTCGTTTCGTAAAATTTATCAATCGTTGGGGAAAACGATTGAGAATCACAGAACGACTTCCCGAGTGGAAATTTTGGTCAGGTCTTGATTAAGTTTGGATCAGGTTAGACCTGACCACTGATCAGGTATTGATCAAGTTGACGGATCCGGTCCTGATCAGACATGTTACGCCTCTGACCAATCCGGATTTGATCAGGACGAATGGATCCGAACTTGATCAAGTCAACTGTATGAAAACCGGATGACTCCTCTGTCAGTATCAATAACAATTGTCAATGATAATTAATTCAAAACAAAAGATAATTCAATTCTTTTACCATAGGCCGCCTCTCTTAATGAATCTCTATTGTTACCTTTGAAAAATCTTATTATTTTTTCACCGATGCTGGGGATCGAACCGGGGACCCTATGATTGCTAATCCTATGCCCTAACCACTACGCTATCGTGCGATTACTATTGAATAAACTGTGCATTGCCTATATGATTTGTATCGGGGTATTCGTTGAATTTACGATTATTCCTAATCTCGCGGATGTGCGTGTGTATTCTCAGAGATAAAATATGTTCAATTAAATTTTTATTTATTTAATTAATGTATTATAATAATGATAATAACAATAACTCTAATAACTAAATAGACATTTGGTGATTTTTTTTCTCAAGATCATTTGCGTGTCAGTTTGATACTCCTCTAATACGTATTTACGGCATCATCATCCCATTTGAGAAGGGCTGGCTGCTAATTAAATTAAATTTAATTCAATTAAATTCATTAAATTAAATTAATTTAATTAATTTAATTTAATGAATTTAATTTAATGTATTTTAATTATAGTATGATGATCCTTTTTAAAGATTGAAAATGATTATTGATAATGGTTGATAAAACTTAATTTGAATAGTATAATAATAGTTAATTGAATTATTCGAAAAACTTATTAAAATTAATGTCAANACGAATGGATCCGAACTTGATCAAGTCAACTGTATGAAAACCGGATGACTCCTCTGTCAGTATCAATAACAATTGTCAATGATAATTAATTCAAAACAAAAGATAATTCAATTCTTTTACCATAGGCCGCCTCTCTTAATGAATCTCTATTGTTACCTTTGAAAAATCTTATTATTTTTTCACCGATGCTGGGGATCGAACCGGGGACCCTATGATTGCTAATCCTATGCCCTAACCACTACGCTATCGTGCGATTACTATTGAATAAACTGTGCATTGCCTATATGATTTGTATCGGGGTATTCGTTGAATTTACGATTATTCCTAATCTCGCGGATGTGCGTGTGTATTCTCAGAGATAAAATATGTTCAATTAAATTTTTATTTATTTAATTAATGTATTATAATAATGATAATAACAATAACTCTAATAACTAAATAGACATTTGGTGATTTTTTTTCTCAAGATCATTTGCGTGTCAGTTTGATACTCCTCTAATACGTATTTACGGCATCATCATCCCATTTGAGAAGGGCTGGCTGCTAATTAAATTAAATTTAATTCAATTAAATTCATTAAATTAAATTAATTTAATTAATTTAATTTAATGAATTTAATTTAATGTATTTTAATTATAGTATGATGATCCTTTTTAAAGATTGAAAATGATTATTGATAATGGTTGATAAAACTTAATTTGAATAGTATAATAATAGTTAATTGAATTATTCGAAAAACTTATTAAAATTAATGTCAAGTGGACCGGATCTGAATCTGATCATTTTCCCTTCAATTGACCCCGTTCAAATGGCGATCAAAGACATCAAATCCAAATTTGATCAAATTGGANATCAAGTCAACTGTATGAAAACCGGATGACTCCTCTGTCAGTATCAATAACAATTGTCAATGATAATTAATTCAAAACAAAAGATAATTCAATTCTTTTACCATAGGCCGCCTCTCTTAATGAATCTCTATTGTTACCTTTGAAAAATCTTATTATTTTTTCACCGATGCTGGGGATCGAACCGGGGACCCTATGATTGCTAATCCTATGCCCTAACCACTACGCTATCGTGCGATTACTATTGAATAAACTGTGCATTGCCTATATGATTTGTATCGGGGTATTCGTTGAATTTACGATTATTCCTAATCTCGCGGATGTGCGTGTGTATTCTCAGAGATAAAATATGTTCAATTAAATTTTTATTTATTTAATTAATGTATTATAATAATGATAATAACAATAACTCTAATAACTAAATAGACATTTGGTGATTTTTTTTCTCAAGATCATTTGCGTGTCAGTTTGATACTCCTCTAATACGTATTTACGGCATCATCATCCCATTTGAGAAGGGCTGGCTGCTAATTAAATTAAATTTAATTCAATTAAATTCATTAAATTAAATTAATTTAATTAATTTAATTTAATGAATTTAATTTAATGTATTTTAATTATAGTATGATGATCCTTTTTAAAGATTGAAAATGATTATTGATAATGGTTGATAAAACTTAATTTGAATAGTATAATAATAGTTAATTGAATTATTCGAAAAACTTATTAAAATTAATGTCAAGTGGACCGGATCTGAATCTGATCATTTTCCCTTCAATTGACCCCGTTCAAATGGCGATCAAAGACATCAAATCCAAATTTGATCAAATTGGAGTCAGGCAGTCGACCTCAGGGTGAGATCGTGCCTACCTGATCAGAACTTGAACTGAATCATCCTCCAATTTTTCGGATCCGATCTACTGGATCAAAACTTGGTCAGGTTCTCATCAGACATCATCTGATCATGTCTACCTGATCAGAACTTGATCTGAATCCGCCTGTAGTTTTTCGGATCAGATCTGCTGGATCAGAACTTGGTCAGGTTCTCATCAGGAATTACCGGATCAGTCGAACCTTGCAAAAACCTGATCAAGTTCTGATCGTGCTTCAGGTGGGCCTGAATTAATTTCCACTCGGGTTGTTGTCCCCACAGCGGCGAGTCATCAGACGGATGGTCAATTTTTACGGAACAAATTGTAGAATTTACGTGGCGATTCGCACAATTTCAGTTCCGACTCACACTTTTTATTGAATGTTACTTCGCTCGCGGATTACGTTTCGAAACATAATTTTTACGTTTTTTTTTCTGATAATTTTTATTGAATTTTTCTCTCCGTGTAGTACTTTTGGAGGCATTTACAAAAATGAAATAAGTGGAAAATCAATGCAAGAGAAATTGTGAGTAAAATCGGTGGATTTCCACAAGAATCTGACGCGTGAAAAAAAAATCATAGACCCGAGTAGTTATGTAATGCCGGTTCTGGGGCAACGTTTTAGCGGAGACTTGGCCAAAGGGCCCCCGCGAGGGGGCTGGGGGGGTGGAAGGGTTAATTAATCCGCGCTAATTAATTAATTATTGATTGATTTAATTATGGATTAATTAATTAATCAATTATGTAATTATCAATTCATTAGTACGTTCTGGGGCAACTTTTTAGCGGAGACCTGGCCAAAGGGCACCCGCGAGGAAGTGGGTGGATGAAAGGGTTGATTAATTCGCGGGGTCGCGGTTTAATTCGCAGTTTGATTAATTAATTCACGATTTTTCCCCTCGAAGTGATGAGAGGGTTAATTAATTCGCGGGGTCGCGGTTTAATTCGCGGTTTGATTAATTAATTCACGATTTTTCCCCTCGAAGTGATGAGAGGGTTAATTAATTCGCGGGGTCGCGGTTTAATTCGCGGTTTGATTAATTAATTCGCTATTTTTCCCTCAAAGTGATGAAAGGGTCATTTAATTCGCTGGTTAATCAATTTAATTCGCGGTTTTGCGTTACAAAGGACCTTCTCGGTGACCAAGTCAATCCATCCCGCGAGGGGGTGAATGAAAGGGGTTAATTAATGCGCAGGTCGCGGTTTGATTTGCAGATTAATTCCGCAAATCACGGCTAAATTCGAGGATCGATTAATTAATCAATTAGTACACCCGAACTTCTCAGTACACTGCTGCGAGGGGTGAAAGGGTTAACTAATTCGCTGCTTTAGTTTGCTGTAGAAATCATAGAAGGGGATCCTCTTCTTCAAACATTGACACCTGACTCCACTTGACAATTTCCAGACACGTCTGAACTTGAGTTTTCCGGTACTTTCCCGTTTGCCGCCCCCCGCCCCCCTTCGTGTGAAATTGTTGTTGATAACGATATCAATATATAAATATTTCTTTCAAAAGAAGGGTTCAGAAGGCGAGGGAGTATGTATATATGCAAAGGTAGAGGATCAGTCATCCAAAAACTTAGGTACCCCCACCAATTTGGCATAGTCCTCGACAAATTGTACACGTTGTAGTAGGAGGAGTTTCCGAAAAATCTTCATCTGCTGCAAACTGATAAGGATGGGAATGCATTAGAAGATGTCCGAACGCAATCTTTTGTTTAAATAGACTTTTTCGGTTTACCTGGGAACGTATATTGTACTCACAACCCTAAGAACATGATGTTTGACAAACTGGAGCAGAGTTTTCGGACCCTTTGATGTCCTATCGCACCGCAAAGATTAAATGTTATCCAGGACATTTTTCAGTTATTTTTTTTTCCCACGAACAAAAAATGTTGCTATTTTGTAAATAATTTTCCATCAGTCACATGATTCTTTTTCAACCAATCAGGTAAGATTTTACAGAGTGTACAAGCGTAGGCACACTCACATATGTATCTATATAAACAAATTTCACCTTGATTTTCCGCTAGTGCTTTAGTGTCTTTATCATGAACAACATGGATCCTAACACGTGTAAAAGATTATTGAGGTCATTGGAGGATGCGTATGAAATAGTGAAAACGAATAGAAGACCCAGGGAAATTCATCAATGGCTTAATCACATCAGAGAACATTCGAAAGAAATTAATGCATTATTGAAGAATAGTGCGAGTCATAGTGAGAAAAGACGTTTAACTCACATGTTAGGACGACTGAAAGCGTTCTATGAAAGGTTCAAAAACTTGGAAGTGATAGGAGGAGACTTAAAGGGTAATTTAACTGATAGAGTTCGATGGGAGGACTTACAAAGTGTTTTTGAGGGTCGTATGAGAACCGGTGTAATCATTAACGTGAAAAATCNAATAAATATAATCCATTGCGCGGAGGATCCAGCTTCGTTGAACTACCTGAATGGATTAAAAAGAAACATGCTCTCGTGAACGTTCAAAATAAAGACGATGCCTACTGCTCTTTATGGTCCATTATGGCCGCTCGCTGTACCGTTCGAGATAAGCAATGAACAAACTCATATCCCTCTTTCAGCACTGTCATGAAAAGCTTTGGTAACTTCAATTACCCCATGGCATTAAAAGACATTCCAAAGTTTGAGAAAATGAATGAATTGTCGATTAATGTATATGGAATTGATAGTGGCGAAAAATCAGAAAAAAAAATGGATTGTGCCACTTTACTTGAGCAGAAATCCTCCAACCGCACTGCATGAGGAAGGAAAAACAATTCGCCTTCTCATGACTGAAAAAGAAGACATCCTCGATGGTGAACAGGAAGGAATTCATCACTATACATGGATCTCCAATTTATCTCGTTTAATTGGTACACAAATTTCAAAAGTTGAACATAAAACACTCATATGTGACAAGTGTTTGTGTCACATTTTCAAGAAAGAGGCCTACACTAATCGTAGGCTCGATTGTGTATCAATCAACAAGTGTCGAATGNTGTTCCCTATGTTGTGTATGCTGATACTGAGTGTCTATTGAAAAAAGTGCCCTATGACAATGATCAAAACACTAAAATACACCAAAATCATGTGCCGTTCAGTGTTGCATTTTATGTGAAATGTAGTTATGATGACTCAAAATCGGAACTTTTTATTTATCATGGGAAAGACTGCATACAATCTTTCCCACGATAAATAAAGCAGTCATTGAGCAGTTCATTGAGCAGTTACGTCTTTTAGCGATAAAAGTCGATTCTGAATTACAGCGAAATGAGCCGATGAACTTGACATTTGAAATGGAGCGACCATTTAATGCAGCTAAAAATTGTCATGTTTANTGCAGCTAAAAATTGTTATGTTTGTGGCAGAGCATTCACCGAAAAAGCAGTGAAGCATCGTGATCATTGCCACTTCACAGGCAAATATCGTGGTACTGCTCATCCCGGCTATAATCTGAATTACACGGAATCGTGTGTAATTCCAGTAGTTTTTCACAATTCGTCAGGTTATGACTCACATTGTTTTATTAAATCTCTTGCGAAACAATTCCAAGGCGCAGTGACATTATTCCCAATTAATAAAGAGAAATACGTTTCCTTCACGAAATCGGTCAAATCGACAAGAGTCCACTTGAGATTCATTGACTCATTCCGTTTTATGGTAAGCAGTATTGATAAATTTTCGTCATATTTAGAGGATGAAAAAAAGAGAATCACACNGAGATTCATTGACTCATTCCGTTTTATGGTAAGCAGTATTGATAAACTTTCGTTATATTTCGAGCATGAAAAAAAGAGAATCACAACCAGTCATTACCCCCAAAAACGACAATTCGAACTCGTTACACACCAAGGAGTTTTCCCATACGAATACTTAGATTCATGGGGGAAATTGAGTGAACGCCAATTACCTCGGAAAGAAGACTTTTATTCTCGATTGAATGATGAGAATATATCAGATAAAGATTACAATCATGCATGTGATGTATGGAGAAATTTCGACATCAAGACACTCGGTGAACACGCGGATTTATATCTGAAAACTGACGTCTTATTGCTGGCCGATATTTTCGAGAATTTTCGATGGAGTTGTTTAGCCTCATACAACTTGGATCCCCTTCATTATTATACTACACCAGGGCTGGCGTTTGATGCAATGTTAAAAATCACTGGAGTCCAATTGGAATTAATCCAAAACCCTGAGATGCTCCTTTTCATTGAGAAAGGCATTAGAGGGGGACTGTCGCAGTGTTCAAACCGATATGGAAGGGCAAATAACCACTACATGAGTGCTAATGAGTATAACCCAGAGGAAGAGAAATCGTATTTGATGTATGTGGATGTAAACAACTTATATGGAGCAGCAATGAGTCATCATTTGCCGAATGGAAACTTCTGTTGGCTGGAAGATTGGTCATCCCTAAACGTCCTGAAGATTCCAGATGACTCAGAGACTGGATACATCCTGGAGGTTGACCTGGAGTACCCACAGGAATTGCATGAAGAACATAAAGATTTACCATTGTGCCCAGAGCGNAGTACCCACAGGAATTGCATGAAGAGCATAAAGATTTACCATTGTGCCCAGAGCATATAATCCTCCCCAAATGGTCAATCAAAGTTACCAAAATTATTGACAACGTTAAACTCAAAAAAAAAATTACGTCATTCATTATACGAATTTAAAACAACATTATAGTTTGGGCTAAATTACCAGAATTCATAGAATTTTGAAGTTCTCTCAGAGCTTATGGTTAAAAAAATATATTGATTTAAATATCAATTACCGGAAAAATTCCCAGAATGACTTTGAAAATTTTTTTTATAAATTAATGAATAATGCGGTTTTTGGAAAAACAATGGGGAACGTTAGAAAACATCTGCATGTAAAACTAGTTTCAAATTGGGAGGGACGATGGGGTGCTAAGAGTTGGATATCGAAACCCAACTTTCATAGCTNTAGGAGATATTCAACGTATTTTTGCACCATCTGAGTAACATTGAGATTTCTAGCAGTGATATCTTCCGCTATCTTCATATCCAATCATGCATATGATGTATAAGCCTCACATCCTGTCTTGACTTGAAGAATACCTGTGCCTGAGATATTCATTGCATCTCTCCACTCTCCTCCACATGAAAAATTCACCTCCTCTCTCTCGGGCACTGAGTATAGTCACCCTTTTTTAGTTTGTTTCCAATGTGACGCAAAGGTAGAACTCAGTTTGATACTACAATTAGCAAGAGGTGAAAGTTGTCTGCCGGTCATAAACATTGCAGCCTTACAAATTGGTTGAGAAGTGCCATCATAGAATGGGTACTTTAGTTTACAAATATACTGATAATCATCTGTGGCCAAGCATTCGGCAATGTTTTTAGAATGTGCCAAGGTATAATGATATTGGCTAAGCAGCAGGTAGTCTCCCCGAGGTTGAATGTACGCTGACCCTTGGCGGTTGCCGAACACTTGAGCCGTAGGATATGGATACATTTTGTACAATTCCTATGTCTTTGAGTTTAACAGTAGGATTTTCAATATTACATCTAATTTCCCATCATCAAATCCAATCTTTATCTCCAATTTTTCTAGTAAATCATCAGAATGTGGTTGTTCAATCGAGAGAGGGAGAACCAATGACTGATCCTGTTTCATTGCAATGAAATTATTGACAGCACTTTCCAGTTTTGTATAAGTGAATAATTCAAAATGAATGACTTCTGCGTTTGCAGAATGTATGGGATCCATTATCGTTTCCAGAAAATCCATGTACATATCCAGCTCGATTTCCAAACGTTTCGCCCAATATCGGACGAAGCAATGATGGGAATTTGGCATCTTTTTCTGGCTTGTTAATTAATTTGACGGCCTTCAAAAAATCTTCAACACAGGGACGTGTTCCGAATGGCGATGTATGTGAGATTTTGGTGAACTTTACACAAAAGCATTCGCATTGACCATGTGTTTCACCTCTGGTTTAGTGTTTCACCACGAGCATTCAGATTGGCGACAGGGTGATTTATATGTGGACTACTGTGAATCACCCAAGAGCATTCAGATTGGCTGCTGTGGTCTATACTACGTTGAGGTGTATCACCTTGTATCATTCACATTCAATTGGCGATTCACCCCACAGCTGATTCAAGTGAAAATGGCCGCTGTTATTGTGTGAACAGTGATATTGTTTGGTGAAGGAAATAAATATAAAGTAATTCAATGCATGAAATTAACGATCCTTCAGAACCTCCAGAAATCGTTGAATCAATACTAGATTCGACAGAAGGCTTCATCAGGAATGCAAAAGGAGAAGTTTTATTAAATGTCAATGGTAAATATATTTTTATAATGCTCGCATTGATTCCCATATTACAGAATTGTAAATACGTGTTTTCAGGTAAACCTGAATGGGGCATCGTCGCGGGACTTCCGTCCGATTCACCAACTGATATAATCGACTTGAGTGAAATGACTGATTCTATTGTGGAAAAAGGGAAGAACTTGAAAAAACCTGCAAGAATATCAAAAAAGTTACGACGTGGGTGGTCACGCGCTCAGACTTTGGCATTGATAGACTTTTATGGCAAAAACAAGAAAGCGTTTGCAAGCTCTACAATGAGAAATGATATGGTGTGGAAAGGTTTTGAGCGTGAGCAAGAAGCTGAAGACGAGAGTCACGACTGCCAACAAATAAAAGATAAGTGGTCAGCTTTAAAAGTGACTTTTCATAAAGCTCTGGACAATAGATCAAATAAAGCAACGGGTGCAGCTGCCATTCATTTTGAGTTTTTCGATGAGATGTATGAAATTCTCAAAGATGATCCCAGAGCTGCACCTGTGGCGATAGCTTCATCTGCAAAAGGAAGGCAAAATATACCTCCTAAGCTACTGGCCATTGAAGAGTTCGAGGATGAAGGACCCAAGAGTTTATTCGATGATTCAGATGGAGATCAAGATCGAGATGGCCTGAAAGTAGAACAGATTCCGAAATTGAAAAAAACTAAGTTTGAACAATGTCTTGACACCCTGCACGCTGATCGGAGGAAGAGGGAGGATGGCGTTCAACAACGTCACACAGAGGCCATGACAGTACAGAGAGGTTTTCTTCAGGCTATTACAAATATGACAGAGTCATTCAAAGAGTATATGGGCTCAAAGAGGAAGAGAGAAAGTGAGGATTCTGTGAAGGATGATGAGTAGCAATTGACAAATTGTTTTCCCTTTTCTGGCTGTTTATTTTTTATATTTTTGTTGTGCTCAATTTAAGTACTTGTGGAATGTCATGGGAACAATTCAGTAGTGAAGTGGTGAAGGATAACAAGTCCATTTTCCATATCGCATGAAATATCTAATTATCTCAATAATGAGTGATTTTAGGAAAAAACACCAAATCAACTTTTCTGTTGGAAATATTCTCATCTACAGGGAAGGTCCTTTGGTGCTTTCGTCTACAATCACTCATCATCCAGATAATTCGATATTCAATCAGATATGGAAAATTAACTTGTTACCCTTTACCACTTCGCTACTGAATTCAGGGGCACGTTGTAAATGACATGGTAAGGGTTGTGTGTCTCTCTCCAATACACACTGCGAGAGAGACGAACGTCTCCAGGAATGTTGTGCTTCTCTGTTGCACAGCGTATGTTGGAAAGAAACACACAAAATACGCCATATCATTCGGAACGCATTCCTAGATAATTTCTCTTTTAATTCAATCTGATCTTGGGCTTCATCTCCGAATGTCAAGGTGATATTAAAATGGATATGAAGACAATTTTATAGTTCTCGCTTTGCTCCATAAAAAAGGTGCCTATGGAAATACGTCCCTTCCCCTCAGATTGCAAGCTATTTATCAAAAACCGCGACAATAAAGTGGCTTATGTCGTTCTACCATTTAACTCCGAAATATTATTAGTTGTTTCATATTGTTGTGATCAGAAGACTTATTCGTAGAATATGGATTTACGGGTATTAAATGGAGGTTTTTGTGTAGGGAGTAGTCATTTTGATGAGCTTGTTGGGGCTCTCTAAGTCAATTGATATATTGATGTCGGTGCAATCGTTAAAGAATGAGATGACCTATAGCCGCTGATAATGTAAGTAGGTGTAGTTCGAAGGGGTATTCTGTGCTCTTCATATGACTGTGTTCTTTTGGAATAAATTCCAAAGATATTATAATCAGAGTTGCATTTAAAGTAGAAAAATGTTACTATTATTAGGTTATATCGCCCCATACGAGTTCCTGTATTCTGTTCACCAAAAGGAAAGTTAATAAAATTAATTGATAGTAATAATTGTTTTTTACTTCCGACTAAATTTATTTTTTCCTTCCCTCTAATATTATGGTTCAAGCAAAAATGTGAAGACGAATATCAAGAAAACTTCCGACTAACTCTAAGTTGGAATGATAAAACGAATCAATAGTTTCTACTAGCGTTGGTTCAATTTGTCAGTTTCATTTATAGTTTTCTGAGATTAATTAATCCAATAATGAAATACCTACATTCAGAAAGAGGAGGAAAGATGGTAAACACCATGTTTAAAACAAATATATCAAAATATTAACGGAGAAAATTTGATACTTTATCTGTATGTCATAATGATCATTTGGAATTGATTCTTATATATTGTTTAATTCGTATGTTTTATCAAAATATACATATTTGAAAGAATTTCAATCATGTGTTCAATTTTATACAATCTCATGTAACGAATTTATACAGTTCAAAACAAATTTACAGATGATTACGATCCATTAATTATTTCATCAAAATATCCTATGAATAACGCCAAATTTCCTAGGGTTTCAACTGAACCTTGAACTTCTCAGCATTCCCACCGCCTCCAAAGTACATATAATCTGTCATATCCTCAACCTCATCACTATCATCATTAAGTTTCTTCGATTGAGTGAACACTTTCTCAAAGTACTGTTTCTCCACATGAAGAACCTTCTCCTCAAAGTAAGTCCTGAGTTCCTTCATCTCTTCAGCATGTTTCTTCTCAATCTCTTCCTTAAACCTCTCAAACCCATTATCCCCGACTAACTTCGTGAGGACATCAATCTCCTCCACATGCTGCTGCTTCATCTTCCCAATTTTCTCTTCATGTTCTTCTTTCAGAGCCCTGATCTCTTGAATAAGAAGTTCTTTTTCCTTCTCAACGTTTTCATGAGACAACTTCAAGCTTCCCACGTCTTCTTTCAATTTGTTATTCTCCTCAGTCAGCTTATTTTCCCACTCAGCAAAAAGGTGCTCATACCTATGAAAAGCAGAGTTGATCCCTCCAACAAGACTAGAAGTAATCACCCCAGGTTTTTCATTCAGAGTGTCCTCAGATATCAGAGTTCCATCGACTAGATCTCCATTAAAACCACTCAAATTTCCCCAAAAAAATTCCCCCAATCGACTCTGATCCATCAAAGACTCATTCAGGTTCTGCTCGCTCTCTCTCTCAGCCACGCTCCTCCAGGCGCCTTGCAACCCTCCCATCAGTGTCTTGCAGTCCTTCTGAAGCTGTTGATCCTCCTCCTTCATCACCTGGACCTGTCTATCCCTCTCCATCAGCCCCAAATCCTTCTTCTTCATGGCCTCCTTCATCTCTTCCACCTCCCTCTCCAAGGATTTAACCTTCTGGTTCTCTCCCCCCCCCCATTCATCA